AAATACTAGTTTAAAAATAATTTTTTAATTTTATTTAAATTAATTTAAAGAATAAAATAATTTAGGGCATTAAAAAATCGCCTAAAATGTGGGAAATATAGGCTTATTTTTTGCCCAAAATAATGTACAAACATGTGAGGGCTTGCAAGGACAAAACTAAGAGCGCAGATAATGTGGAATTGCTATGTTAATACTTTCTTGAAAAAAAATAAAAAATTGAGTAGCATTTAATTAATATATATATATATATATAAATAATTAAAAATAAAAAATATGAAGGGTTATACAAAAAAGTACTTTCTAATATATAGTGTAAAATGTAGATAAAAAAACAAAAAAAAAACAAAAAGCAAAACATATATGACACATGGGCTTGCGCACCTGAATGATTAGAAAGTATTTGGCTTGTGAGTAATGCTTTTTTGTTTTTCTATATATTAGGAGGTAAAGGACATGTTGTTCCCCTTTAATTTCAAAAGAAAAAGAAAAGAAAACAACTTAATTATTGCATCATCTATTTGCCTAGATTTTGACAACTAGAGAGTTATTGAAAAGTCATGGTTATTGTATTTCATACCTAAAAACTCATTTTTTAATGTGTTTTTTTACCCAAAAACATTAAAGAGAAAAGAAAGCAAAACATCTTGGAGGCCTTAATAAACTCATATATAATCTTAAATAACCTGGAAATCAATCAAAAAACTTAGTGTTTTAAAAACTTCTCTGCCCCATATCTACCCTCTCAATAAATGTGAAAGCCAACAAACATCAAGGTAGAACTCCTCTTCTCAAATGGAATTTATTGATATTAAGATCAATCATTTTTATTTTCATAATTAATGATGATAATAATTTTTTCTCTCTTCAATTCTATCTAGCAAGTATATAGATTTTCTTAAAATTTTGAGGTTGAAAAGTAAAGAAACTAAAGTTTTGAATAAAAATTAAATTTTAAAAAACAGAAGAAACTAAAAATACATCCAGTGAAAAGTAAGGATCATAATTAACTTTTTCTAACAATTTTAAAAGTGTTTTTCACTTTCTTTGTCTTGTTTATTTTAGTATTTTATCTTTTAATCTTTCTCATTCTTAACAAAGTAGACCCAAATAATCATTAATTGAGCTACTAAAAGCTCAAATAGCAAATAAAAAAAGCTTGATTATAAAAAAAAAATCATAATTGAAATCTATAGTTATTTGTGAGTATGTGCATAGTAGAAACACTATTTTTTTAGTTTTTTAAGTGACAAGCTACAATATTACCTTTTCTTTTTCTTTCTCTTTGCATCTACATGTCCAAATAATGAAAACCCAACTTCTTACCACCTATCTTGAATCAAATAAAACAAATTTAATTTCAAATGCTTTTCTTTTATTTTTTATTCTCTCTTTAGTTTTTCCTTGTTATCCATCTCCTGCATCTTTAGACTGCTGCCCAAGGCATAATTGTATCCCTTGCTTGCAGCTCCTGGTAGAACTTCTAGGAATTGAATGAAGATGATTTTGCCTTTTTGCAGGGAAAGCTCGATGAATTGGACGAAGTTACGAAAACAGAGCGAGAGGATTTAATTAAAGGGAGAAAGTAATTGATCAAGGAAGAATATAATGAAAGCTACATATGGAAATCCTTCTCCGTGCATTTTTCTCTCTATGGAGAACAGAAACAGACTTTTTTCATTTCTCATTGCTGGAAACAAGATATATCTTTTTATGGGAATTTTGAATCAATTCTTTTTTTATTCCCTCTCTCAATATTGTTCTACAAGATATCGGTTGCTTTATTTACCAGTACGTAGAGAACATGGTCTGTTATAGCTGAACACCCTATTAATGTTTTATGGTTTATATGCTTCATCTTCTTAATTCAACAAAGGCTCTATTCCAAATCCTTTGCAGTAAGGTTCATGGATTTTTATTCTCCTTTATGTTTTTCCTTTGGGTCAAACCTTGCATGAACAATCTCGGATATTAAAGCCCTTTATTTCTTCAGCCCGTATCCTGTAAACAACCTACATGGCCCCTTACTCCAACTTGAAAAATCACTGTCTCTTCGGTATTAGCGTCCATTATCGAGGAAACATGGGGATTATGGCTCTGTCGATCCCAAAATGATGTGAATTAATGCCAGTTTTGCAGATGGCTATATGCTTTGATCTGTAAGGAAAAACTTTCAATGCCATGAAACTTCTAGCTATGTTCTTCCTTGTCTTAGAAATCCCTCGTAATTATGGGATATGTAAACAGGAGTCTCTTACCATGACTTGGGTGCTCAAGTTCATTAACAAGGCTAAGACCGCAGCAAGCAAATGGGTTGAAGACAATGTCCTCCGCCACTACCCTGAAACCATGACCTTTTTATTGTCAGTATTTATAATCATACCTGCTGTAAGTTTTAAATTGATGGATTCTCTTATCTCCAGAGAATGCAAGACTTTCCATTTCTATTTGGTTTGAGTTGATGAAAATTATAAAATTGGGGTTGATTTACAAAGTCTACGATGAAATATCAAGTTTTAGTTTATTTTTAGTTTAATAGAAAAGTTTTAATATTAATATTGCAATTTTTTTTGTTATTAAATAAAAAATAATTGCAATTTTATAAATAAGGGTCGGCAAATGCATAAAATTCATGTCAAGTACAATTTTTCAAATTATATTTTTATTAATATTTTTAAATTATAGCATGTAATTGTAATTTGAACTAAACTACAGGATGTTAAGGTAATTTTCTTATTATAAAAGTAAATCTAAAAAAAATATTAATTTTATTTTTGCCCTCTAACTATAAATCCTACCCTTGTGGCTCACCTCAACCCTACATTAATATGGTTCTTTCAAGGTCATAAATTCTTCGAACAATTGTAAAGACTCATCCTACATCCTCGTAGTAATTACTTGATTAATTTGAAACAATTTAGTCTTTTTTTCCTTTTTAAATGTACAATATAATAACTATAGTTCTCTAAAAGATGAAAAAAATTATAACCGAAAAATAATTTGATGTTCTTATATTTTAAAGATACATTATAAAGATTATATTACCCTTCAAAATAAAAACAAAAAATGATAAGGCTTTTTTATCTTTTTTTATTGGTTTTTTTTAAATAAACAAGTTGATCGGAAGTGATTTGATCTTTTGATTAATATAAATATTATCAAAACAAAAATATTAAAGCATGCAAAGCACATGCCAACTAGTGGGCTACTCTCACATCCTTCGAACGACACGTACAACATCATCCCTCATCCAAATGCAGCCTTCTAGGATGATATTGAAATCGCCTTGCCATCATCTTTCAATTGGTGTCGCATTTGTGAATTGTGGCATGGTGGTTTGGTTCTGATGGATTTGTTTCTATTACTTCCTCATTTTTTTCTTTTTATCCCTTTTTTAAAATATAAATGAGTAATTTAATTTTTTTTTAATTTGGTTATTTTTTTTATTGCTATTTATTTTGTTTTACACCTTTTTTGATTGATTTTTTTTAATTTTACTCCTTATTATTTGGTTTCATTTAATTTTATATCAAATTTGATTTTTATTCTTTTCATTGTTTCTTGTATTTTTTAATCCTTTTTCCAATTGATTTTTTTTAATTTCATCCCTAAACATTTTATTTGAAATTAATTTTATATCAAATTTAATCCTCCTTATTTTAATTATTATTTTTTTTGTTTTGTTTTTTCAGTTACATCCCTTAGCATTTTAATGATTTTGAATTACACTTCGATATTTTTTAGGGTTTGCTTTTTATAGCATTAGTCTCAGGCTCAAGATCAGGTCACGAGTTGATTTTGATTTTTTTTTTAGATTTTTTTTTTAAATGATTTTTTTAATATCATCCTTTAGTATTTTATTTATTAGGAATTGGTTTTTATGTTTTTTTTTTTAGTTTTCTTTCTATAGGATTATCTAAACTTTGTGTCAATGATCATAAGATTAACGTGTTAACGCAGGTTAACTTTTTTTTTCATTTCTTTTTTTATTTAAAATTTTTTTTTGTCATTCAATTTTAGGTTATTTAATAATTAAGTTCCATAGTTTTATTCAGTTTTTTTATAGAATTATCTCAATATCATAACCAGGTCGCAGATTTAACATGCTAACTTGAATGGGCTCCAGTTGAATTTTTTTATCTTTTTTATGTTTTCAATTTTTTTGTTAATTTATTTATTATCATTATATTTTTTTAAAAATATACAGTTAAGTTTATTAAATACAATTTTAATAATTTATTTAAAAAAAATACTTCAGTCATCTTAACTTTTTTTTTTATATTAAAAAAAAGTTTAGGTTGGTTAGTGGGGGAGCGCTAGCCCACAATTTAGTTAACGCTACATGTCCAAACTTCCAGGATCAAGGGGGCGAGAAAGAATGTCCTTGGACCGCTGGGTCTAGACTCTAGTGTCTGGGATTTTCTAGTCATTTAGTTGATAAACTCATTTACCATTATCCGAAGAATTCCAACACTAAACCACACAGATTAACCCCCATCTCTTGAACATACATTTAAAAAAAGCATTCAAGTGATACATCCTTTCATCAAAATAGGAGTCAATTGTAAGGTTCTAATAATAATAATAATAATAAAAGGCTGGTAAATTTCTAGCCATAGAAAAGAAACAGAAGCTAAAAATGCTGGCATTCTCTGCAAATTGGACAAATATGCAACCATGTAGCCATAATTTAATTTGATCAATTGACCTCATCTCCTCGAACTCTACGCCCTGTTAACCTTTCAGATTGACACCCATCTACCCATACATTACCATGCTGCGGATGCTCACCACCATTAGTACGAGTTTATGTTGTTTACTTTTAACTGCAAGTTCAGATGATATTCATGGTTTTAATCAAAATCATTTAAATTGATGAAATAGCATGCACTGATGCAATGGAGGTGACATGGTTGCACCGATTCTCTTTATGTTACAGTTTTCCACATAAAACAACCACAAAGACTTGAGGACAGAATTGGAAAGGCCATGTTCCCCACATCAGCATCCAATATTTATTCAATTATCAGAAATAAAATTACTGTGTCATCAAAATTTATTACTATCTGTGAAAGATCACTCCGACAAGCTCGTAACGGATTATCCAGTCAAAGAATTCATTCGTGCCATAATCATACCATTGAAGGGCACCGCAGAACTCCAACGATCCTGAAAATGGTGTAGTCCACTGTAAAAGATTCAATGGCTCCCTTGAAACTACACGAAGTTCCATGAAACCCGAAAGAATGTAAGCTTAGCTACGGATTATTTGGCAAATGCATAAAAAGAACCTAACAAAATCCTGAGTTCCAGTAGCCTCTGCCTACATAACCACAAGAGGAGATCCATTCCAATTGTTGCCAAAGCAACAGCCACAACAATAGAGGACCAATCAAATACAAAAAAGACATAATAAAGCTTTTGAACTTCGAAGCTGCACTTGTATACTTGAAATTGTCTCATCATCTTCTCACATTTTATTCCAACAGCAAAATTGAAAGCTGCAACTAGTGATGATGATCATCATCATCACCATGTCCATCGGGTGGTCCTCCAGGGCCCACAACTTCAAGCTGTCAAACACCAACAAGAGTCAGCAAAATTTAGCAAAACTCTAACTTAAATTGTTGTTATAGACGTGCAGCCAGAGACAATTCAGTCTAAAAAAGTTCACTTAAGTCTGTTCATTCAGAATTACATGTATCTAGGCTGAAAATATATTATTTGGTTACACGTTCTGCAGATTGAACTACCCCAAGTCATGAGTTGTATGACATGCAGTGCATTGTGATCCAAATACCAAATCCAAACCACGTCTCTAGACATCACTTTTTAATTGAAAACTCCAACTCTGGACTGAATAAACCTTGTGAAGCCTTCAATGTAACACTTAACTTTGATTTTAATTTAGATATTTATGCTCAAAATTGATCAAACAATCACAAATATGCATTTCTAGTAAAATAAATTGTCATCTAAACCTTAATAGGCATCCCATGGCATGATGAGGTAAAATCATCTACAGCAAGAACTGATTGGTCAACCATGCTGGTTATATACAATTCATTACACACAGGAGCATGTGAATATGCATACACAACTAGATTCAAAGGAACAATATATGCATAGATCTTCACATTCAAGTTAGGCTCAGTACACTGCAGAAGGCCCTACAAATTGCTAGTGATTTCAATTCAAACCTTCCACTTACCACAAAGTGCTGTGTGCACACTGGGCATTCATGAGGCTTGCCTTTCTCCAGCCAAAACCACACAACATCATGTTCATCCTCTGCAACTCAAAAAATTAAGCAAAATTCTTTTTTTCAATATACAGGAATAAAGTACTTCTGCTTAATTTGATGAAGATGCTATCGTCAGCTCAACCAAAAAAAGGAAAAATAAGAATGATAAATGCCCACCTCCTTCACCTCCAGGGCATCCAACTATTCTCTTGTCATAGTAGGACTTGATAACAGAAGGTTCTTCCTACAAGGGAAAAAAAAATTATATATACAGATTAGATATACAGCCAAAATCATGATAGTTCTGCACAATGGAATATGACAGAAGGCATAATACAGACAATAATAATAACAAGTCATCAACAATGAATAGTTGACAATTCAAGAGTCCATTATAAACAATCATACACACATAAACTATACCTTTGAAGGATGGGGAAGCATTTATAATAGTGGAAAATCCAAGGGCTAAGGGCAACTATTTAAAGTTTGCTGACACTGAACTACCAGCCAATTAAAATGGCAGTTTAGCAAAGTTGTGCACACAAATGAAATCACAAAAGAAGACGACTGATCCATCTGAAAGAATCAATATAAATAAACATGATTTATACAGTCATCGTGATATGTAAACTTAGTGGAGAAGAATGCAATGCCACTTGTCCATAAAAGGAAACTATCTTGCTTGACAACAGTTGGGTTCGGGTTGCACCAACAAATGACCCAAATAATCTGAACCAACCCAGTCTACCCCAATGAATTGAACCAGCCCAGACTACCTCAATGAACTGAACCAAACCAGACTCCTTCAATGAACTGAACCAAACCAGACTACCATAAGCCATTAGATTTTTATTGTTAACCTTCCAAGAACAGAAATAGATGTGATTAAAGGTTATTAAAGCCCACTCATTCACAGATTAAATCAGAACAGAAATAAAAGAGATGGCATCAGTTGAGGATTTAGGGTCCTAGAGCTATAAACATGGGGTGGTAGTTTCAGATATAAGGAATAGAAATAGTCTTGAAATTTATACCATCACCACCTCCACTGTCAAAGCAGCCATCTCTACCACAAAACATCATCCATGCCGCCACTCCAAAGAAGCAGCCACAGCTAACACTTAATTAATTATCTCATCTCAAGTCTGTATAACATAGTAATTGTCTTCATTCCCATTAAATTCGCTATTTTTTCATTTCTGATTTTTTTTTATTTTTCATTATTGATTACTAAGCATCTCCTTGCATACATGAAAGTTTGATTTAAATAATACCGTAAAATTTACAAATCTACTTCTAAAGCAATATTAAGTGCCTCGGCCCTTGGCACAATCTCTCAGAGACCTCAACACAGAAACCATGTTAATCATTATAATAAGCAAAAAGGGCAGCCTCTAGAAGAGAAAAAGGAGATTGTTCCATCTTCTAGTTTAAACAGAAGTCCATTTCATCTTTACCTTACCAAAATCATATAAGGACCAACTCATGGAGTCAACCAACTTTTACAAGAAACCTTACACCACCACTGTCACATTTAACCGAATGAACCAAAACTGAGAGAAATCAAATCCAAGCAACTCAAATTTATGTTTTTCCTCGTGCCAAATCTGTATCCTAACATGTAAATGCTGTCAGAATTATGAACACCTTTTCATATTTTTTTTCAAAACAACATATAATATGGCGTGAACCATTTTTGCCACACAAACATAAAGCATTACAACCATGTTCCATTAACACAAATGAACAGCAGAAAATCATAATACAAAAAAGAATGCATAGAGAATGACCTCACCTATTAAAAACACAATACTAAAGAGAAACAACATTGTTGAAGTGGCAAAGTGCAAAGCACTAACCTTTGTGCCAAAAGGGCCTTCAGGAAAGTCTATATCAAGAAGTTTCTTTCCCTGAACAGCAAAAAAGCAATTGAAATAAGAGCAATCTCTTCCACATAATATAATAAAACCCAACAGATAAAACAGACTTGGTTTATGACTATTAAAAAAAAAGAGCCATGCATTAGCAAAGGTTACAATAAATACAAGTGATAGCGCCCTCAGCTCCATTTAACTTCCCATTTCATGCAAATCAAAATCAAAAACCAAAAAAATTTGATAACACAACAGTTCATTTTCTTGTTGTTTTTCAACATAATTAGAAACGCATTCCCCTTTCCCTTTCTCACTTTCCAAATACAGGAGGGGAAAAAAGCACCTCAAGCTCGGCTTCAAGCTCCTCCCGCTCATGCCCAGTAGCAATAGGCATTACATCCTCAACCCTCTTCTTTACTGCACCATCCACTACAAAACCAAAGAATACTTCATCATTAATTATTTAATTTCAATTTCAGGCACACCATAAATGATGCAAATATTATAAAATTCAGCATTTAACAGCAGCAGCAGCATTTATCACAAATCTAAATCCAATTGCAGTCACCGAAATTAAATTACAAAATTATAGAAACTCATAGATTTAAAACAAATCTCATCTCCATAACACATACCTAAATAAAACGAGAAACGAGTCAAATACTAACTAAAAAAAACCACACAAAAAATACAGTCGGGAAGTCATAAACGGTGTTGTAAGTGTGTAGGTGAAGATCTGAGAGGAGACAACAATAGTACACTAGACTAAGTCGAGAGAGAGGACCTGAACCGGCGCTGAGATAGCGATTGAAGACAGAAGCGGAAGGAGATCGGTTAAGGAGCGGGAATTGAGTAGGTCGGACGGAAGCGGAGGCGGAGGCGGAGGCGGTGGCTAGGGTTTTGAGGTGTGAAGAGGCTAGTCTTCTCCACATTGTTTCTTTATGATGTAACAATATTAACGTGTTCTCGTTTTGATCTGAGGTCACACCCTCCCTCCAAGTTGGTAACCAATCTACTTCTTTGCTTTTTATTTTCGATCGGTCAGAGAAAATGGTTGGATGAAAGACAAGCTGTAAAATGGGGTCCGGGTGGCTATGGGGTTCGTTCAGTTAGCGACTAGTGAGGAGGCGTGTGTGGAGTGTGTGGTTTCACTTTGCACGTGTCACTGTTTCCCACGTGTGTGACTTCTTTTTTTTTTCTTTTCAAAATTTCCAAATACATGTGTGTGAAAGAGTTTTTTTTCTTTTTAATTAATGTTACTTTTTCTTCTTCAAATACATGTGTGTGAAAGAGTTTTTTTTTTTAATTAATGTTACTTTTTCTTTTCTTTTTTTGTATGAATCATGCAAGTAAGAGCATCTCCAATGGAGAAGCCAAATGAATAGCCAAAAATAAAAAATTAATATTTTGGCTTTTCTTTGTTTGTTTTGCATACTCCAATGGAGAAGCCAAACAAAATGCTAAAATGCTTTTTCTCTCCCACAAATGCTATTTCTACATATCTCTTTAAAGAGCCAAAACCAACAAAGTGGGACCACTAAAAAAATAGATCAATTAAATGTAGACATGTGGAAAAAAAATGACATTAAACAATATTAAGAAATAATAAAACACTTATTTTTTTCACTCCAATATAAATGGCTCTTCAAATGGCTTTTTTCCATTGGAATAGATATGGTAAGACAAGCTATATTTATACTATTCAAAATGTTATTTTGTCAATTTAGCTTTTCAAAATAGCATTTTGGATTGGAGATGCTCTAATGGAAGTAGTATAGTTGCATTGCTGTCGAAAAGATTGACTGGTAGTTTGGGATTTGCTACAACTGGCTTCCGTGAAAGAGATGGTACTTTATGTAGAAATCTTCACTTTGACTTTTAGCGTTTAAGAATAAGAGATGGTTAAAACTAGATAGAAGTATAATGCTCTTCGTCGCTATTTAGACTAATTTTTTTATAATATAAAAAAATACTGAGGCCTGAAAATGTAATTTAAATAAAAAGAAATTTGCATTGATCCAATTATATGATAGAAAAACAACAACGGTAAATGAATCTAATTTTAAAATAAAAGATGATAAGGATAATCAGAAGAAAAGAAATTCTTATTAAGAAAGATAAAATCACAAAGTTGAATTTCAAGATAATTTAATATTAAAAAATAAAATTATAAATTAAAACACTTCGAGTTAATCCAATAAAATAAACATCATCAAATAATCTATTAGAAATACCAATTAGACAGGTTTGAAACTAAAAGAATCTAAAATAAATTGATTGGGCTAATTTTAAATGCTTGGGTTAAATAGTTGCAAACATATCATGCTAAACCATCATGTGTTGTTTGGGTCATATCTAAAGTTACATATAGAATTTTATGGCAATTCTAGTTAAGGATGGAAATTAAACATATCAAGTTTTTCATATATATTTGGTAGGCTCAATAATTCATTCAAATAAAAGAGACTAACGTGTTTAAAGTTTTGTTTGAAATCTACGAGCAAACAATTTTTATTGTGCAAGGATTCGTTATGCAGCAACAATCCTTCCTCTACAACGAAAAAATTTGGCATCTTTGGCAGCAATGAAAGTTCTATTTTTTCAAGGAAACAAGGTCGATAATAGGAGTGATCATTTTTAGTTTAGTTTGGTTTTTATTAAAAAAAAATAAACAAATCAATTTTTTTAAAAAGAAACCAAAACCGGTTCAAAACCTTTTCTACTAATGGTTGAAATGAGGCTAGACATTATGGGCTTGGTAAGCAGAGCCTAGTGCTTGCCCCCACAAAGCAAGGGTCTGCATATGGGCTTGCAAGTTCAGGCCCATGCACATGAGACTTTTTTTAAAATTAATGGGAGGAATAATGTGTCATTTGCCCCTTTCTTCGCTAAAAAAAAAAAAAAGATGGTGTGCTTTTATCTTGGCCTCTTTTTTTACTTGTAAATGATAGTCGTTGCTATGCTTCGATGTAGGTAGCCCTAGTAAGCAAAGTCTAGTGTTTGACCCACAAAACAGGGCCTACATGTAGGCCTGTAAGTGCAAATCGATGCGCACAAGCCTTTTTTAAGTTAATGGAATAGATGATGAGTTGTTCACTCCTTTTTTTTTTCAAAAAAGAGATGCGTACTTCTATTTGACCCCTGTTTTTACTTATAAAAGGTAGTCATTGCTTACCCTTCGATGTAGGTATATATTTGAGGTGTAAGTATAGTTTTTGTGAGCATTTTTTTGGTATAAAATAAGCATAATCTCATAACGTACAAAGTAAACACATTCAAAACCTGATATGACTTAAATAAAAAACATAAAGACAATTTTATCAAAATTATTTAAAAAAAATCTAAGCAACAATGTTTTCTAGAACGTAAAATATCTAGACATGTCGTAGAAAACTCTTTAAAAATATTATTAAATCTAGTTAAACAAGTTAGTCTAAAAAACTTCTTAACTTGATTGCTTGCCTAGTTCGTGCTTCAAATTCATTATGTGAGAGCTGCTACAATGTTACCAAGTTGATTTGGCAATATCAAAATTAACTCAAACAACTTATAAAAATATAAGTTAACTAAAAAAAAACAACAAGAAGAAGATGGCATTATCAATTATAGTCTGTTCCCTTGAGGGATGTGGTTTTCCTCCATTATCAATTATAGTCCCTCAAGTTTTAATTTATTAGAAAATGAAAAACCGAACTATCCTTTACAAAACCAAGTCTGAGGCAAATAACAACAATTTTTTTATCCTTAAGAAACCCTCGGCATGTTTGTCCAAAAACATTACAAGGGAAAAAAAAATATAGAATTGTGCAAATCTATAATGCCAATAATTGTACATCAACAATAGCAACCCATGCGCCTTAATCTTTGTTGATATTAATCAAGGGCCACAATGCTCTATGCGAGCATGAATAATGGCTCGGGGTACAAATAAAACCCAATGCCTTCCTATATACGTAAATAAATAGTTGCATTTTTCATCAAACATTTGCTTGAGTTGGTGGGAAAAAAAAAAGATAAAAAGGAAACCACTTATTCAATTCCCGCTGAACTCATATCATCAACCTCTCTTATTCGAACAAACCCCAAGCCTCTAGATTTTTTCTTCGACATCTCCTCCAAGCCATGAGGCAACAACAATGGCAGCCTTGTTAACAACCCTAGACTGCCCTATTTTGTAATCCACGAACCAGCCATAAACTAAATAAGTCTCCCAAAACCAAAAGGTAGCCCCTCCAACCCTTCAGTGCAAAATATAGCCTTCACCCATCGTCGATGAAGCCCACCAACAAGCCATTTAACACAGTCAAAATAACTCACATAACCAAATTAAAAGAAAAAAGAGACAAAACAGAGTTGTGAGCTGATCTCACTCCTCAAGAAGTGGTGAGACATACCACGATTATAGAAAAGGGTTAGAAAGGGGAGCTAATCCCTATCCAAAGAAGACACAACCATCTAAAGTTTCGTCACCACGCGCTGCAGACGGTGCAGTGGCTTTTTATTTAAAGCATGTTTTGGAATCCTTATATTAAAATAATTTAAAAATATATAAAAAATATTTTAAATAAAATAAAATTCCAAAATAATCTCTTATTCTTAAGGGTATTCTCGTTTTTCTTAGTCTTTTATATCATATTTTGCATCGCTTTAAATGTACTCATTGTATTTGGGGGTGTTAGCAAAATGACTTGGTTTTGTTCTTGTAATTATGCCAGGAAAAAAATTCATGTAATGAATTGGATAGAATGTGTTGTACCCGTAGATTTTCATTTCCGACCTATATTGTTGCTTTAGTGAACCCCAATGTCTATAAATGGTTGAGTAAAAAATTTGCCTCTTTAGTTCCTAACAATGCAAAATAATAATAATAATAATAATAATAATTCAAGCAAGAAGTGCAATTTTTTGTTGCTTTCTTGAACCGAATCTAAACTTCTATAAAATGTTAAAAAAACAAATTCATTAAAGCAGTTAAGAGTACATGATATGTTGAGTCTAGAATTTCAATGCACTAGTCATCTTGAAAGAGAGAATTATATGGTTACTTGGGAAGTCTTTTGACTTTTAGGTTCTGTAAAGCGTTGTGATAATTAATACATTGTTTAAAGGGGACTCTCAGAAGATCCATTGAAAATTGCAGAAGGTTCTTCCAAAAAACATATAAGCAGGAAATAAAGACTCACCCATCATATATGCATTGATCTTTCCCTGAGAAAGAGAGCAAATTGTTTATAAGAAATGCCAAGTTTGGTGAGAAACTCAACTAGGCTTATATCTTCATCTGTTTAACAATTTCCATTTTTACTTCTCCTTATTATTATAAGTAATATATTTTTTTTTGCTTTGGTATGAGGGAGAGGTGTTAGGGCAGTAAAGACTTGGATCTAGCTAGGAATTGTTGCTTTTTGTGGATAATTTAACGACGCAAGGTCTGTATGGCGTCTAGATAGTCTGAGTCACAGTCTGTTGTATGGGTTGGTCGTGGCAGAGCTGCATGTTGGTTTCTTTAGGAAGAGAGGGATATGGCTGTGTGGATGGGCAGTGGCTTCGGTTAACGTGCTGGTAATAGGAAAAGGGATTTCTTGTTTGCTTGATTGGCTCTGATTTAAATAACAGTGTTGGTTTGTGGAAATAGAGAGCAAATGGGAGGGAAATAAAAACATAGAAAAAACCATATTTTCTGCCATTTCTTCTGCAGTAAATGAAGGGGATGAAAGTGAAGTGGCTGCACATTGTTTAGAACAACAGGTAAAGAAGAGGTGCATTTGTCCTTAGTGGGAAAAAGAAGAAGAAAAAGAAATGACCCATATTTCCTACCCATTCTTTCACAGGAAAAAAGGAAAATTAGGTGAAATGGTTGCACCTTTGACTTAACAACTTTTTTGTGTGAATCTCCTAATTTTCACTGTACAAAGCGAAGGCACTACTAATTGTGGTCTCCAATTTTGTAATTGTAAAGGGCATTTAAAGAGCACTATTGTGGTGAATAGTCATTTATATCTGGGTCTACAGTGAATCTTCAATACCTTTTAGTTTTTAACTAGATTTGCTACCTGCGCTTTGCCACGGGGCAGGATTGACAACGGATTGAGACATTAGTTCTATGTTTATATAAACACAATAAAAGCAAAATGCATTATTTTTTTTAACATGTGCAAAGCTATAATGCAAAACAATAAAGCAACCGTATGAATTATTTCAAACCCTTCAAAGCAATTACATAATTGAATTGTCTTGTTCAATTAAGCACGTTAGTCTGGTATGGTATGGAGTTTCATGTTTCTTAATAAATATATATAACAACTATGAAAAAGTTAATGAAGGTCACAACTGCATCAACAAAAAAATTTCTAGAGCGGTGGTGCAGCCTCTCTAGAGCTTCAGTTTCCCTCTAAAAAAAAGGTCATGTTATTCATAGACATTAATGAGATCAGCAAAAATAAATGGAGTGAAGGATAAGACTAATCCAATATCAATAGTAATAAAACATGAAGAGAAGGAAATAGATCTTTAAATTAAAAAAGGCAACCAAACAATAAACCACCTAGTTCTCTATTTTCAAGCAATATAGCCTATAGTAGTAAATATACATTCTTATGAATGTTTAGGATCTTCATTGAAATTCTAATCCAAAAAGCTCAATGGTTATTGTGTGTTAGAAATCACAACCTAATAGAAGCATTCATATATCTTACATACATGTCCTTTTTAAATTTTTGGACTAAAAAGTTTAATGGTTGTGCTGTGTTAGAAATTGCAGGTTTATGGGAGCATGCAGGCTTGTTTACTACATGGCTTCAACATACGGGACCATTGTAACATACTGGAAGTCCACACTGCTAATGATAGTGTTGATTATAGGAAGACCAACTATAAGAACCTTGGAAGCCACCCCTGCAACAATGCACTTACCACATTTGATTTAACAAAATGATACATAACATAGCATTGCACTTACTAATATCTTTTTACAACCTATTTTCCATCAATGACCACATCTTCTATATGGTCCAATGTTAATTGTTGATGGTGTTGTAAACACTCAAAGTGATTTTGTGTTAGGATTGCAACCCAACCAACCACTAAGTTCTGTCAGCCCCTATAATTGATCACATTCTCATTGTTGAATGAAGAAAAAAATCTGATTAGCCATGTAATAAATTGCTAGCTACACAGAATGATGTACACCACTTACCAAGTTTTTTTTCTACTCAACTTGTGCAGAGCCCTACAACTATATTGTTGGTCTAAAGATCCCTGCAAGCAAAAGTTGAAAAAACCTCAGATCCTTCTCTTCTCGATCAACAAATAACTCTCTCTCTCTCTCTCTCTCTCTCTCTCACACACACACACACACACACACACACACACACACACACACACACACACACACACACACACACACACACACACACACACACACACACACACACACACACACACACACACACACACACACACGCACAAAACCCTCAACAACCCATAAAAATCCAATATTTCCCTCTTACACTCCTCTTCATCTAACAGCAGGTGGTAGCAACAGATCTCTCAAGTGATTTTAGTTATCAAATATTGCCATAACATGTGGTTCGTTCATCCGAATATAAAGCTAGAAAATAACCTACTTGCAACCTTTGCGAGAAAGAGATCTATTCTAATTCAAGCAGTAGTTTCCTGAAGGCAAAAGTAAAGGCAAGAATGATATCTTGAGCATAGTTAGAAAAAAGTCATAAGTGTCTTTGACATGCATATGGATTAACTTTGATTCGGATCACTTGAATAATCACACCTCTCAGCATAACATGAAGGTTAATGCTTAGTGGTTACGTCTATAAACCTACCATCCGAGATGATACCCTAATAATCTATATTATAAAAAAGTCATTGGTATTAGAAAGAAAAACAAAATTAACAAAAGACTTCTTTGTCATTATATTTAGGCATATAACATTAAAGAAAGACACAATTAATAGTCCAAGACAATAGCTTTCCTACAATGAGCTTGAACTGTAACACATTGATAGTAATGTAATAGACCACACACGTAGTACATATAGTTCATTCTTTACTTTTGAGTCTTTGACACCAGGGTTTAAGACCACAAAATAAAGTTAATATTGTTGTCAACCGAATTCATGAAGTTATATGGACAAAATCATGAATAATTGCTAGTCATAATACCTACGTTTACATAACTCCATGTAATATAACTTTCCAGCCACAACTTTCATTTCTCCACCCCGACCCAATAGCAAAAATCTTCAATCTGATTATTGAGTTTGACTAGTCAAACTATTTTTCATAAAAACCAAGTTAGGGACTGCAGATGGAATAACTAATTTAAGCTTGGATTGTTAAATATACATGAAAATAATCAGGATCAATGGTAAGCAATATAAAGATGTCAAGAAATTGTGCAATTGCTTATTCAAAGATGAAGAAAATAGCATAACCTAACTAACAAATTTGATTAATTGATTAATAATTAATCACGTCCATCATCAAACTCAGATGAATTAGCATTCAACAAAAAAAAAGATGGAATTTGAAAAGGCAGGCCTAACCTTGCGACAAAAACAACAGATACAAGTCTTGCAGACACAACGATGACAATCATCGCAGATGAAATAGAGTCGAGCCATGCATGTCGAGCAAACTTCATGATGGTAGTAAACAACCCATTCTAGAACGGCTACACAATAATAAATAAATATGCAAGCTCATAATGGAATTCAATTAAAATCATGAAAAATTCTTTATAAAGGAAGGAGTTTATAATAATTTAATAGAAAAAATAAAAAAATAACAAAAAGATCAATTTGTTTTTGTGAATAGAAAGAGAAAGGGAGAGAGAAGCACCGGTGTGTGTGTATTTTTTTGTTTAAACACAGAGACAAATTGAATGGATGCTTATGGAGAGGAAAGAAAGAAGAAAATTTTATGGCAAAGAAGCCATGTGTGTGAGAATGAAAAGGAAGTGAAATTGAGCAAATCAATTTTGAGAGAGAGAGAGAGAGAGAGAGAGAATCGATTTCTTTAACTTTAGCCTTCATGACTTTTTTTGATCTAGAGGGTAAGGTGATAGAGATAAGAATAAAAAATAAAGAAGACAAAAGATGACAAATTGATTTGACAAATTGAAACTCAACTGAAAATGCAGCTTGATTAAGGTAAGCCCAGTAACCAGTAATTTCCAGAGCTACAACATTACACAAATTGCTTAACAGTAAAAATTAAAGTAAAATCCCCAACTAAACACAAATAAAACCACCAGCCTTTTCAGTAATACAAAACTAAATCTGATCAAGTGGGCATTACATTTAATGCATATCTCCCAAAATCACGCCGGATTTTCTGGGTTGGTGCCCACGTTCTTGTTCTTTTTTTAGGCAAGTTCTCAACTGGTTCTTGATTGATTCCAGATTCATTTTGAAAAGGTTGCTTTTGGTCTTGTAAGCGTGATTTCTATGTCATTTGATTGTAGTCTTAACCCCAACATCAGTCCCATCCCCTGCAAACCTCACCTAACCATCCTAGCCCAGATAAATATCCCATCCCCCATAAACCGCACCTAACAAATCCAAGAAACCACCAACAAATAAAACAGAGATGAACACAATCAAAGAAAAACTAAGTTCATTGTGTGAGTCCACAATGCATAACTCTGAATGAATAGTTGAATCATCAAATTTTTTAGTTTTGTTTTTGTTATGATGAAGTAAAAAAAAACACGCCAACGAACAACATATAAAAATAATTGAAGAAATTGAACAAAACTTCTTGTTAAACTAAACAAACTCGCCATGAGAAATACTGTTTGAATTCACAATAAATTCACAGCATTTTCCTGATCTCTTTTAGTTTTTTTTAATTCTTCAATTTTGTGAAATGCGATATCAACTGTCCTGTTTAATGGATGATAATTCCAGAGCAGAGAACAACCCAGCCAAGGAAGATCATTACAAGTGTTGTGTATTTGATTTTTAAAAAAATTATAGTTTCTGCAAGCTTGTGGTAAAATGAGAGAAACAAGGAGATCAATAGAGAGCAAGAAAACAACAAAGTTGTTGTTAAAGATTTATCTAAGATTATTTGATTAGCAATTATAGAAGAAGCGAAGAAGCTAGGGATTAATACTGTAGAGAAATTATTGTTTTTCTTTTTTTTTTTTTCAAGGAAAAGCAAGTTTCAGTATTTGGTTATGCACCAAAATAGCATAAGTAACAAAGAAATTATTAAAGTGCAAAATAGTTAAAATTGTTAATTAAATTTATTTTTATAGATATTTTAAATAATATAATTAAAATTAATTTTATTTATATATGATTTAATTCAAAGAAGCTCTAAAGATTTAAATAATAAATATTCAACTCATATGAATATCTTAAAACGAAGCTTTTTCATTAATTTATATGGAAACAACCACACCGGTCCATAAAAATAACAAATACAATAACAAATACAAGATTAGCTTGGCAAATCAATTCAATAAACCACCAGCTTAGATATGGCAATATCAGTTTTCATCTATATATATATATATATATATATATATAGAGGTTTCTTTCAAAAAAAATAAAAAAATCATTATAAAACAATGTTTTAACAATAAAAAAATTCAAGTAACATAAATAAACTACAACTTGGATTGAACCTTAAATTGAATAATTATAACTATGATACACATGATGTTTCAGTCAAATATTGGTATTATTAATAGAATGTTTAAGTGTTATTTAAAAAAAAAATTATTTTAAATTAATATTTTTTTTATATTTTTAGATCATTTTAATATACTAATATTAAAAATAATTTTTTAAAAATAAAAAATATTATTTAATATATTTTAAAATAAAAAATACTTTAAAAAACAACCATTATCACACTTCAAAACACTCTTTTCATGTTGTAATATCTTAACTATTATGGCTATGACTTCATTTTATATATATATAAAGAAAAAGCTGATAGCATTAAAAGCAAATCTCATAAATAATTAAATTAGTGAAATCTACCAGTAAATATCACTTTAAAACCATAATTCAACATCTCATGTATTATATTCTTTAGAGTACTAAATACAAATCTTTGCATTGTTTCTGCTCATTATAATTTTATTCTTTTATTGGGCAGTTTATTATTTTTAAAAGCATCAATTTTATTTTGATTTTTCACATAATGATAGCAAAATCTGCCGGATCAAGCTATAATTTCAAAACCTTGAGATCCTTTGCAATTCTTTTACTTAGCGAAATTTCTCCGTTTTTCTTAGAAAACATGTATATTTTATTAATCAATTATATATATATATATATATATATATATATATATATAAAGACAATATAAATGACATATCTAAATGAAGTTAAGCTGTGAAAGTAATAGAAATTGAATTAAATAGCTATACCGTATTAATAAATCATCCAAGATTAAAAATGCAAAAACAAAAATATTCATAAAAAAGATACGTATAATTGATTATTTGTGAAGGTTGTTTGTTTTTGTTGGATAATGAATTAACGATACCTCATAATTAATTACAACATAAATGAAAGTTGAACTCAAATTAAAAGTAATATATGTCGATAATAATTTCTAGATTAATTACAACATAAATGAAAGTTGAACTCAAATTAAAAGTAATATATGTCGATAATAATTTCTAGATTAATTACAACATAAATGAAAGTTGAACTCAAATTAAAAGTAATACATGTCGATAATAATTTCTAGATTAATATGAAAAATAAATTAGATACTTAAAAGCATATATATTATCTAAATAATACTTGAAACAGCAAAGGAGTCAAGAAAAAATAAGGATAAATCTTGAAATTAAAAATATAAATTGGAGTACAAATGCTGTGCTCTAAAAGTATTATCTTTATAAAAAATCCCAGGATCAAATTCAAACTTTACATTATATTTGTACATTTTATCTCATAATAAGATATGTACATATAATTGCTTAATAAGTATTAAAAAGTAATTTAATGCATAAATCCTCAATACAATCTTACCCTTTTCTTTTTCACAAATGCTCTTAAAAATTCACTACTAAAGTTTCAAGATAAAATAAACAAATACTAAAAAAAATAAAAATAGAGATGTATTTAGTTAGAAAAATACAAATAAAAACATAAAGAAATATATTTCTCTAAATTTTCTATCTCAATTATCTTCTTCGTATCTTTTGTTTTTAGATAATCAAGCATTATCTAAACAGAACTTAACCATATTCATTAAAAATTATAGATTTTCTGCTCATATTTTGTTGATGATTATCACTACTCTATTAGACTATTAGAAGATTCCAAATTAACTCCAAGGGCATTGACATAACTAAAACATCCGGGGGGCTTAAATTCGCCGAGAAAACCTAGGAAAAGCACTTCTCTTCAAGAAAGCTGAATCAAACTAAGCTGCTCGAGCAGCTTGAACATTTAGAATTTTCCTACAGCCATATTATGTTCTCGCCAAGAGCTTACGTCTAAATTTCCTTGCCTCATGCCTGCTGGAAGGTCAGCCTGAATCAATAAAATCCAAAATTTACTTTAATTATATCCAACGCCTCCTCTTCCTCTTTCCCTGAGAAGTTTTGCAGAAAGCTTCTCAGGTCAGGGGACCAACCTTTTGTCTTTGCCTTCTAATTTTTGGCTCTAGGTCTTCATCTTGCTCCAATTTTCTCCTTAGATTATCTAAATCTTCTTGGCTCAGCTGGCCATTCAATTTTTGGTTTAATGCATAGGCTTCTGCCAACTTCCTCTTGCACTCTTTGCTTGCAGAATCATGATACACCACTGAAACAAGCATGAGGGTGAAAATAAGTATAACTCCCATCTGCATGCAAATGCATGGCAAATCAACTGCAAAACAAAATTATTGGGAAAATGGGTAGACAGGAGGCAGACGCTAATAACACATGGACTACTAGTTTGGCATTTGGCAGGCGAGTAGCAAATTCAAAATGAACTGTGCTACCACACACTGCAGCACTTTTTTTTACCAATGGCACATAGTCATGGATATTGCATGGCTTCTAAGGCATTATTGGTGCGAGTGAATAAATCAACTCGCTACAAATCCCTTGGGAAAAACGACCAGATCCAGATAATGGTGTATAACTAAGGATAAGGCACAATAAATGGTAGTCGACAGACCTGGTTTTGGATAATCTCTTCCTATTATGCACTTTGCTTTTCTTTGAATGCCTGGTGGAGCTGTCCATGGCTCATAGATGTACTCCTTTGGCATATCTGAGCATTTGTATAATTATAAAATGCATATAACGATTTACACTCAGCCAAAAGAAATAAAATGACATGATAGGAACTCCAGATTACCTTTCAATACAGGGAGAAAATGTCTTATATAATTACCATTTGGATCATACTTCTTCCCAAATGATATTGGTGAGTAGATACGGTTATACTGTCAGCAGAAAATCCAATAAAAATTTTAGAAAGCTAGAGCACAACAAATTGTGAAACAGAGCAGTAATGTTTTGAAGGGTAAAAAGGAAACGAGCATCCAAGCACAATTCAGGCAAACGTAGGCAGCAGATAAGGGATCGGGAAACAAATCAACCAGTACTTCCTCCTAGATATAAGGAAGCTTATGTGCTTTTCGGTTTATTTCACCATATAATATTATCTGTTCAAACCTTTAGAATGTTGCCAGAAAAAAATACTGAAATTAGATGATTCAAAATTATCAAATGAGACAATCATTCCCCTCTATAATACTTTTTGAGCTGATTTTTTTTTTCTGATAGAGCACTAAACATGAGTCTCACATGCAGTCAGAGTGCTGAAGGTTCCATGATATCTTGGAGTTTTGGAATGATTCAAGTCCCTACCAACCAATTAGTGACGGTATCATCAAAACTTGTTTATACTGCTTCTGCATACCTGGTAAAAAAAGGATGAACATGATAGCCATAGCCAATTTCCATTATTTATTGCCCAATCTGAATCAATCAGAAGTCTCTCAAAAACATCACGACCTCTTTCCCAGTGAAGAAACTATAAGCAGTAATGATTCTGGTCAGTAACAGAGGAGATTAAGAAAAAGAGAGGAGGATATATTGGTAATATACCAGATCCCCACGAGTGAGAAAACATGCAACAGAATGCCGTGCTAGATGGTGCATCCAACCCCACTTGTGGAGCTACAAGAAAGACACATATTTAACTTCCAATGAGTTTGCTAGAAACTGGATCAGCACACCTGTTTTGGAATATAAATTGAAAAACTGAACAATTAGTAGTTTTGCAACAAATCTAACCTGGACCATGATGGCATCAATCCAAGGGTATCCTGTTCTAGCTTCCCTCCAAGCTGCTAGCAATTCATCATCATCATTCCATGGTATCTGTAATTCCACATAGGTATTAAGTCATGGCCTTGTAATAGAGAGGAAATCCATGCATGCAGAAATTAAAATGAAGACAGTAGATAGTATTTCCTGGTTTGATTTTCAAATATATAAGAAGATAAAGGAATCACCCTCATTAAAAATCATAACAAAAAAAAAAAACTCAACCATAAGTGAGTTCCAAATAACCAAAACTACATATATAGAGGGTCTTCTCAGAGCAAAATTTTAAATAATGCTATGGCATGAACCAGACATCAGGGATCTGTAGCCCTCTTTCAAGAAAAAGGAACCAGCTCCTTTCAAATTGCAATAAACAAAACAAGGACAAAAACTAATAGAAGAGATATACATAAGTTATGGAAATATCGCATACACGATGATGGGTGCTTACCTGCTTGCATAGTTTGTTGCCCTCCATCCGATCAAAATTGGGAGTGCCAAAAGCCACAGTGTAGAAAAAATCTCTCCATAACAACTGCCAGAATTTGAATCTAAATTCAAGTGTACCAGCATGTGCAACAAGCAATACAAATGATTGATGGAGTTGAACTGACCTGGCCTGCAAGAGATACAGGTGGTGACGTGTGCTTCTGGACGTTTTTATAGACATCTTGAAGGCATTGATAGAAATACCTGGAAGAGAGACAGCCAAACTGTCTAGGAGATTAAAACAATGGCAACGAAAATGAAGAATGATGAAGGGCTTGTTGATAACTTGAGAGTTTTAGTTAGAATTTTCTAGTTGCATGTTACAACTCTTGTGACAAGTAAAACAGATTTAATGACCGACAGAGTAATCGGCTGCTCACCTTTAAGTACGGTGATAGCACAGTTGTTGCAGGTTTTACAAACGCAGAAGGATTGCCCTTAGGTTTCTCAAAATTTGCTACCCACTCCTGCAATACCAAGAAAAGGTGAGCAACATAAATGCTTCACCTAGATACTACAAGACAGAAATTGAGGAACACTATGGTTACGAATTCAAGAAAAACATGTGACTACTGTTGATGGGATTTCAGTAAAACCAGATAAAATTCCATAACCTGAAAAGGGGCAAACTTACTGGTTTTGTACAAGCAAGGTGTTCTTGTGATCTTGTGAAAACTATAGGAGGAAAATTTAAATAGAAGAGTGGGTTCTAATGGGTATGAGGGAACGTTATATGCATGAAGTGACCAGTAGATTGAGGAAAAATGAATATAGATTCAATGTTGTTTGCAGGATTGAATTTAAGAGCATGAATCCATCAATTCAGAAATGCAGTGAAATATGCCTTTAGTGGATTGTAAAAGCTTGTTGCAAGAAGGTAAAAAGAGTACAGATGAATCTAGATATGTAAAAGAGAATTGTTGTTCAAGAGAGAGAGGTTACAGGATAGAAATCAGAAGATTAGAATACGCAAAATGGATAACTACTTCCATTTCGTTAACAAAGCACGTGCCAAACTGACTGCCTGCCTTTCCCTCCCCTTTCACACGTGCATTAACCAACTAGCCTAACAGATATTCCCTCCAAAACTAACCAACAATTGATCAACCAACAACAGCTAACTGACTGCCACGAGTCACTCCCCAGAGCAACAAGAGGGCTTCTCCAGAAACATCGCCATAAAACTCTCTCCACTTGCATGAATATAACATTAGCTGATAACCACAGTCTCAACTAAAGCAAACCACAGTCCCATTTTAGTTGGGATTGGCTAAGAGTATAACCAGACTATTAAACATTAATAAAACTTCAAGAAAACAAACATTGAACATGTAAGAACAAACTCAGGTTGTTGCATAATAAAACCTTACATGAATTATTGGATCTCAAAACCACGGGGAAAAAATGAAACTCATAAACTAAATAAAAGCGTGAATGACTTCATCTTCTAATTATCAGCTAGTCAAGAAAGCAAAAACTTCATGGGTGCTACTACAATGTACCTTATCACTGATTGATTCTTTCAACCTCTTCAATGCTTCTGATTCGCCTCCTCTGAAAGGAATCCATTCCTTCAAACAAATTTTTATTTATCAGAAGTCCAAAAATGGAACAATCTTAGAGCAGTGATAAATTCTTACTTGTTCAATGTCTCCATAACCAAGGTCTTTGATAGTTGGAACTTCTGAAATCTCACAGCTTCCAACATCTCCGACTGGAGGAAGTGAGGAAATAGAGGTTAAAAGTGGGGATGATGCCCATGAAGGTTGTCCAGAGAGCTTTAGAAATGATTGGTAAGTCAGTGGGGGCTTTCCTCCATTCTTTTTGGATATGAACCATTGCAACAGGGAAAAAGTAGCCAATATTAGTATGATAAAACAAATAAAACAGCTCCACATCAGTAAAAGAAATTATGTCAAGGAACATGACAATACCACTTCTAACCTACCCTTTGTATGATATCTGCTGGATTGAAAAGTGTGTGACTGACAGGAGAAAAAACTTCAATCCCTGCTGCAGAGGCATATTCCTGTAAGAACATAGATGATTCAAACCTCCTATCAGCGGGGATAGGCTACTCAGGCACATACTTACAAGAACTATTTAGCACTCCATATACATGTACTTCGTATTCAATGTTCACACTTCACACAACATCCATTCATAGAGCTGACAATGGGTTTAATTCAGGTCGGCCCTTACTAAGGTGGAGGAAATCGACCTTAGAACTTGAAATTTTGAAATGATAAAGGAACACTAAAAACCATTAAGATTCTAGAATTAACACAATGAAAAGAGAACTCTTAAAACTGTCAATGAAAATCAATGCATAAGTGGCAAACTACCAAATATTTAATTTCAGTATGAACAGATCCTAATGTTTTTCTTTTTTCTTTTTCGGGTGCATGAAAAGAGTGTAGAATTTCGTTGAGAAATGCAATTTGTAATGTGCTAAGAAACAGTCGATTGCGATGATTTTAACAGCATTAAGAACGTAGATATAAAGAGAATACAGTACTTCAATGTCTAAATCTTGAAAAAATGGACCAGCGTCATGCTCCGTTCCTCTTAGCTTTTCTATGAATGTTTGCAAGATGGCTTCTCAAGCTACTGATGTGTCAGCAAGTTGATGATGGTGCAGGACAGCAAATGAATATCATGCAACTCCTTAACGTAACTGCCTCATGATAAATGGTACAACAACATTTTTCTTGTACTAACCATGATATATATATATATCAGCGTTACTGAACGGTGCAAGCAAAATGTTACTGTCCATTTTGGCAACCACCCTCCGACGAGGGGCGGAGCTCTAAGATTCAACAATAAGGGGCAAATAAAGAATTGCAAGAAATGTAGGGGGCAAACATCTAAAGAGAAGAGGATAAATTTAAAATGATAAAATTAAAATTAAAATTAAAGAAGGCTAAAATGAATATTTTGAAAATTTCAGAAGGCAACTGCCCCCCTTCTCCCCCCTATGTCGCTCCACCCCTGTTCGGGCCATTCATGAAACTCACTTGTTTTTCACTGTAACCAAGTTATTGATCTTGATCACCAGGTTAAAAAACCCATATCACCAAATTTCATGAGAAAAAAGAACTAACAATAACGATAAAAATTAAATAAATAAAAGAGAAGAAAATAGTATTGTTACCTTAACTCTAATATCTAAAGCTTGATAATGTGGGTCAGTGTCATACTCAAAGCAAAGCTTTTTCACACCCCATTCTTTCAAGCACCGAATCAAAACCTGACCTGGCTCTCCTCTTAAGATCAGCAGCCTCGAACCCAGCTTCTTGAGACTCGTGTCGAGATCAACTAAACTCTCTAGCAGGAAACGGATCCGGTTCAGTCCGGCGAGCCTTGACCCTGGAGAGAAGGCTTTTGGATCTGGCTCCATGTAATGCGGGTCAATCACAAAAACTGGATAAACAAAATCAGACCCTTTGGAAGCATATTCTAAGGCTGGGTTGTCGTGGATCCGAAGCGCCTTCCTGAACCACATGATGGAACCCGACCCGGATGCAGCCATTAGAGGGTTCTTCAAGTGCTGAGTAGGTTTAGACAAACAAAGTGATAATTGCATTGCATTGCATCGCGAAATAGTCAGTGAGGGAGCTTTAAATTGAATTGGATGACGCTGACTGGCTAACGAGCTCTTGGGGTATAGGATAGGGAGGGTAGAGGTGGATTTTGTGGAGGAGAGGGCTGATCTGCACCATGCACACTGCGTTTTGGGGGGAAGTTATGGTGAGCGGTGCATATAAGCTGACAGCACTAGTCAGCTGTTGTTAGCGAAAAGTGATGACAACAGCTTAGCTTACCTGGCGGTAGAAATGATTAATTAATTATAGTGGTGGCGTGTTTACGAGTGATATGGATATTAAAAGTTTTTTTAAAAAAATATATTCAAATAATATTTTTTATATGTTATTTTATTTAGATTTATCATTATTATTTTTTATTTAAAAATATCTTTTTCTATAATTAAATCTTCTAATCTCATCATTATATATAAAAAAACACTTAGAATATATTTAATACAAGATTAAGTTAAAACATTTATAATTTTATAACTAAATATACAATAAATTAAAGTGAATGTAGCATACTTTACTCTTTAGAATATTAAATTAGTGTGAGTTTTCTATTAAATTAATAAGCTCTATATATATATATATATATATATATATATATAAAAGAGGGTTTTTTATATTATATAAAATTTTAAACTACTTTCATCGATATAATTAATTATTTTTTTGATATTTAAGAGTTCAAATTTAAAAACGTAATGCAAATAAAATTGAATGAATTACCTTTTACAAATGAAGTAAATTAGAGTGAGTTTTTATATTTAAATTACCATGATTGCAAGCAGCTAATTATAACCTACTCCCTTTAATTTAAAATAAAAAAGCTAAGTAATTAATTACTATTGGTGCAAAAAACAATTAACTAGTCTTTTCTACTATAATTGACCATCCTAAATTTAGTAATTATTGTCCTAAGAAATGCCCTTGTGTCCTCTCTCAAAATACCTACTGCCACAACGTGGACATGTTTTACAATTTTACATGCCATGCCATCCACCTCATATTCTTTGACAACTGTTGTCAACCAATGGGTGAGCGGTTAATAAAGGCGCCACGTTCTGGTTTTGAAAGGCGGAGGCGAAAGGCGCGCTCTTTTCGTGGACAGTTTTTACCCAAGGAAACATACTGGCTCGCCCAGCCTCTTTTATATATGTATAGTTTTAGGGAAGGGTTTTCAAGAGCATCCCAATGAAAAATGAAAAGCTAAATTAATAAAATAACTTTTTAAATAATATAAATATAATTTTTTTTATTATAAGCAATCTAATAATAAAAAAACTATTTAAAAAAGTTATTTATATTTTAATATATTTCATGTTAAATTTATTTTTTATAATTATATATAATTTTGATTTTCAATTTTTTTAAAAAAAATATTCATGCTTTAAAAAAATAACCGCCACCATTTTAAATTTTAAAATTTCAAATTTTTAAAAAAATGACCGCTAACATTCTAAGATTTTAAAATTTAAAAAAATAATCCATTTATAAATATTCTCATATACCTTTTTTCTCATCATTCCATTGTTTTCTCTCCAATCAAAAATATATTTCATTAAAATTCATCATGAATCATTCTAATTTTAATTTTTATGATACTTTTGATTTTGATGATGACACTCCTGTGTTCGCTTTTCAAGTTGCTGCTGTTGTGGTTACTGAAGAAGAATCGAATAATCAAGGGCGGAGAACGGGGTATCGTAGCTCTATTCTTGGCCATAATATTGTCAATCCTAATAAAAAGAAAAGTCAGTTAAGGTTATATAATCATTATTTTGCTAAAAATCCTAAATTCACTGAAACTCAATTTCGAAGAAGATTTCGGATGAGTCATCATCTTTTTCTTCGAATCGCAAATACAATGGAAGCTCATAATCCATATTTCAAACAAAAAATAGATGCTCTTAGTGTTCTTAGTTTATCTTGTCTTTAAAAGGTAACTGCAGCTCACAGAATACTTACATATAGTATTCCCACAAATCTTACTAATGAATATTTTTAAATTGGAAAAAGGACTATGATAGAAAGTCTAAGAGCTTTCGTCAAGGCAATCGTAGAAGTTTTTGATGATTGGTATTTAAGGGCACCAAACGAGGCCGATATTTGTCGATTATTATCAATTAAAAAGCAGCGTGGATTTTTTAGGGATGTTAGGGAGCATTGATTATATGCATTGGAAATGGGAGAAATGTCCAATTGCATGGCATGGGATGTATACCGGTCATTGTCATGAACCAACTATAATTCTAGTGGCGGTGACTTCACAAGATCTTTGGATATGACATGCCTTTTTTGGAATGCCTGGATTATTAAATGATATTAATATTTTTGATCGGTCACCTATCTTCACTGCACTTGCTGAAAGTTGTACTGCTCCTATCAATTATATAATTAATGGGCATGAATATACAATGAGATACTATTTAGCAAATGAGATTTATCATAATTGGTCACCTTTTGTTAAGACAATCCCAAGGCTATTAGGAGCAAAGAGAAAATATTTTGCAAGTAAGCAAGAGTCTGTAAGAAAGGATGTAGAGCGGCCATTTGGGGTGCTCCAATCTTGTTTTGCAATTGTACGTGGACCTGTTCGATACTGGGATGAAGAAATGCTTGCAAATATTATGAAAGCTTGCATAATATGATTATTGAGGATGAAGGAGCAATGAACCTTGGATTTGACCATGAATGTGAAGTCAATTCCTTTATATCAGTGTCACATGGTGAAATACTAGAACTACATGATTTTTTTCAAACTCACAATTGAATCAGGGATAGAGCAACTAACTCTCAACTACAAGAAGATTTGGTTGAACATTTATGGGAACAATATAGTAACGAGTAGAATCATTAGCTTTGAACTTCTTATGTCATTATAATTTTCAAGTTTTTTATGTTTTTTTTTCATTATGGTTGTTATCTTTTAAGTTAATTAATCCTACTTATTATTGCTAAATGTTAGAAGAACTTCAAAAAAGTATTATGAATTGATATCACTTTTATCATAATATATTTAAAATAACCAATAAATTTCTAAATATTTTAATTAAAAATATATTACATTAAACAATAAATAAATCTAGTTAATTAAAAATTAAAACCCCTCTTTTGAATAATTTCTAACTTTCTATTTTGAAAATACGTTGTAGAAATTGGATCCAAATTAGAAATATTCATTTTCATAATTTGTTATTCTTTCTCAATCCTATTCAATTCTTGTTTATCTTGACTTTGTTGAATCATCATAACTTGTTGCTTTAACATAATTTTTCTGTCTTATTTCTTCTGATCCTCAATTTCAACTAGGATATTGAATTGTTGTAAGAGATTTGTTACAGTTGTCTCCCCAACTTTATCTTTTCCTTGTTTAAGTTTAAGTTGTTCCTTTGCAGCCTTCCAACCAATTAGTCTATCTTGATAAATCAACAGTTCACTGTCTTCTCCTAAACTAATAGAATTAAGGGTAGATAGAGCTGATGAAGTCGAACTTGCATTGACATGACTTTTTTGTTTCTTGTTTAACCTTTGATGTTGACTTTCACGCTCAAATTGTCATTTGGGTTCTTTTCTTAAGATAACCCAACAATGTTCTAGTTGAAATTGTTTGCTAACGCACGAAGCATACATTTGTCGAGTATCATTAATCTGGTCAGTAAAAAATTAGAGAAATTAAATAATGTTAAAATATATGTTAAACAATTTAACATGAAAATAAATATTAAAATTACCATTGATTCTTCAGTCATTCCACTTTGTTGATGATTTTCAATTTGAGTAACAAATCCAACAAATTTACCGACTTCTCTATTTATTTCTTGCCATCTATTTGAGAACGATTATTCAAGTTTTCTCCATTCTCTACAAAGTAAGCATGTACTCAAGCCCAGAACTGTTTTGTTTATTGTTCAACTCCTGTCATTGGATCTTTGCTTGTATTTAGCCATGCAGAGACAAGTAAACAATCTTCCTCTGGCGAGAATTTTCTACTTCTTTATGATTTTTTTTTTTATTGTATGGACATTTAAATTTGAGTGTGTTAAGTCATCAATTAATTGATTAGAATCAATTGGTTGAGAGAGAATATCTTCTAACTCACTCATAAGAAAGTTGGTGAAACAGCTTAGAAAATTTGAATCCATCTACATTAAAAAAAAAACCCCAAGTTAAAACCTTATAGGAGAGTGTAAAAAAAGTGCACATTCAATGTCTAGCAATTTTGTAATTTAGATACATATGAATTAATAATAAGCATTGCATCTGTTGCGATGTCGTGGTCGCACAAATTAATTACCCTAACTTAAAACACAACACACAAGATAGTATAGAGCAAGCAAGGGGTCGATCCCCCAAGGAAGATTTAGTTCAGATTTTTTTGCTATACGTTATGCAATTGGGGGGTTTTGATTTGTGATGATCTAAACTATGGAAGAAATTAAACTAGCAAACAAAATCAATTGAAATCGAAATTTATCAAGAAAACAAACCTTGGTTGCAAGCACACATCCACCAATGGATTGCAATTTTCAGATTCAACCCCTTCCTTACCCTCAGAGATTGACTCATCATCTTTTTCATAATATAAACTGAAAATAAAAGGAAGAATAAATCTCACGGTTCTTGAAATCCGAAGGTTTGTTGTGTCCTTGCAACCAAGAAAAGAGCTTAGCCTTGCATAACCATTGAACAACTACTCTTAAAGAATGAAGAGAGCATGATTTTTTGGGTTTGTAGAGGAGAGAATTTATGTTTCTTAACTTCTAGCTGGTGCCCCCCTTCTCTCCTCTCTCTCTTTCTTTTTATATGCTAAGAAACCCTAGTTCCTAATTTACAAATTAGTCCTCCCTTAAGTTGACAATTGACATTTAAGTACTTCAATAACTATTTTCCCTAAAAAAGAGAAATAGTCTTGCATGAAATCTTCAAACTCTGACTTAGATGAGCTAAATTGCTGATATAAAAACTTGGATGACGGTTTAGAAGCTTTGAAACGTAATTTGGACTCATTTCTTCATGAAACCTGATTGGTGGCAGAATTCAGTTGTCATATTTGAAAAATCATATCTCCCTCATCTGAAATCGTTTTTAGATGAAATTTAGATCATCTACAGACCTTTGAGTCTGGAATCCCACAAAATTGATTTTTCATAAATTGGACTTCTATAGCTCCAGATATTGAATTTTGAATAGACAAATGTCAACTGTGACAGAATGCGAGATTTGACTTTGAAGGATGTGATTTCCATGATCTTCCTCTTTTTATTTTTCTTGCATTACATTTCCAGAAAGGTATGGATGTTAGCTTTTTA